AGGCAGATACAGAGAAAGTTAAGAAAGATAGCAAGGGAAAAAAGGGAAGCAGGAAAATGGGTAACGGTCGGTTACCAAAAAATATGGGAGGATAATAAGGAATGGAGATGGAACAAAAACAAAGAAGCGCTAGAAGAAAGGGATCACTTTCGCAGATAAGAAAGAAAAGAAGAAGGATAAAGAAGGGTTAAGCATGATGAACGAGAGAAGGAGGGAAGAGATACAAGAAAGAAGACAGGAAAGGTCCAAGGAGATAGAAGAAAGGCGGAACACACCAGAAGAAACCAGAAAGGACGAAGAAAGTATAAAGGAGGTAGATGAGGAAAATATTAGAGGAAACAGAATAAGGGAAGTCGAGGGACAAGAGAAAAGATATATAGGAGAAGAGGAAAGAAACGACGGGGAGAGTGAAGAGACGTGGAAAGTGGCCTTTTGGAACGTAGCTGGTTTAACAAACAAGGATAAGGACTTCTGGGAAGGGATAAAAGAATGGGATGTGATTGTGATGATGGAGACTTGGACTGATGAGAAAGGATGGGAGAAGGTGAAGGAGAAGCTACCGAGAGAATATAGATGGAGAGTACAGATAGCAGCCAGGAGGAACAAGAAAGGCAGAGCGTGCGGAGGCATGTTGCTAGGAATAAGGAAAAGCATAGAAGAGATAAAGGAAAGAAGGGAGACGGAGGAAGAAGGAAAAATCGAAGGTAAGATAAGAATAGGAGAGGAAGTATGGAGAATAATAGGAATCTATGTAAACAACAATATAGACGAGAAACTAGAAGGTCTGAAGGAAAGGACGGAGGAGGGGGAAAAAGGAGTAAGGACCATAATAGGAGGTGACTTTAACGCGAGAACGGGAGAGGAAGGAGGATGGGAAGAGGAAATCGAGCGTAGAGAGGAAAGAGGGAGGAAGTCTAAAGATAAGAAGATAAATAAAGAAGGCAGAAAGTTACTGGAGTTTATCGAGGAGAGAGGATGTATGATATTAAATGGAGGCACGAAGGGGGACGAGGAGGGAGAATATACATACACAGGGGAAAGAGGTGAGACAGTCATAGATTACATAATAAAGGACGAGGAGGTTAGAGAAAAGGTGGAAAGACTGGAAGTAGGAGAAAGGATAGATTCGGACCATCACCCATTAATACTATGGGTGAGAGCAAGCTCGAAAAGAAGGCAAAGGAGGAGAGGAGCGGAAAAAATGAGAAGAAGGGGAGTATGGAATGATGAAAGTAAGACGCAATTTAGGGAGAAGTTAGGCACGATTGGAGGAAAAAGAGACCTGCAAGAGGAAATATAGGAAGAAACAAGGAAGATAAGAAGAGTGATTGAGGAGAACGAGGATAAGAGTGAAAGAGAGGCTATCAAGAACAAAAGAGGGTGGTGGGACGAGGAATGTACGGAGAGCAAGAGGGAAGTGAGGAGAGAACTAAGGAAATGGAGAAAAGGGAAAAGAGAGGCAGAAAGATACAGAGAAAGAAGGAAAAAATATAGGGAAATGTGTGATAGAAAGAAGAAGGAGAAGAAAGAAAGAATGATTAGAGAGATTGGAGAAGCAAAAACGGAGGGAAAGGTATGGGAGTTGATAGGCAGAGTAAGGAAGAGAAGAAGAAGGGTGAATGAAGAGATAAAACCGGAAGAGTGGAAGGAGTATTTCATGGATCTGATGGGTGGAGTGGAGAACAGAGTGGTAAAGGGAGAGGGAGACAGAAGTAGACAGGAGGAAGAAGAGATAGGATTAGAAAAGATAAGAAACGTAATAAAGAAACTAAAGACGGGAAAAGCAATAGGCAATGACGGAATACCTAATGAGGCATGGAAGTACGGGGGAGAAGAAATGGTGAAATGGATATGGGAGGTATGCAAACGTGTCCGGAGAGGTGAAGGCTGGCCGGAACAATGGAAGGAAGGGGAGATAATCCCATTAGTTAAAAAAGGAGAAGGGAGAGAGGTGAAAGACTATAGAGGAATAACCATCATGTCTTTGATGTACAAAATCTACACGGCGATACTGGCGGAAAGAATAAGAGAAGAAGTAGAAGCGAAGAAATTGATTCCCGATAATCAAACGGGATTCAAGAAAGGAATGGGAACGATGGATCAAATATTCGCTTTGAACTACCTGGTGAACAGACAAATAGGAAAAGAGAAAGGAAAGATGACGGTGTTTTTTGTGGATCTGAAGGCGGCCTTTGACTCAGTGGACAAAAGAGTATTAATCAAGGCAATGAGAGAAAGAGGAGTGAGACAAGGATTGATAGACAGAGTAGATGAAGTACTGAGGGAAACAAAGAGCAGAGTAGGGAAAGGAGGAGAGAGTGGTAGTCAATTTTGGACGGCGAAAGGCCTGAGACAGGGATGCCCACTAAGCCCAATATTATTCAACCTATTAATCGCAGACATAGAGGAGTATATAAAAAAAGGCGGATGGGGAGGAGTGAAATTAAGAGGTGAGAAAATATACACGCTAATGTATGCAGATGATATTGCACTGCTGGCAGAGGAGGAGCAGGATATGAGATCAATGATAAGCAGGTTAGAAGGATATCTAGACAGAAAAGGGTTAACTCTGAGTATAGAGAAGTCAAAGATAATGAGATTCAGAAAGGGAGGAGGAAAGAAGAAGTACGACTGGAGGTGGAAGGGAAAAAAATTAGAAGAGGTTAAAGAATTCAAGTATTTAGGGTATACGATGAAGGAGAATAGAGGACAGAAGGCGCATATCAGAGAGAGAAGAAGGAAGGCAGCAAGAGTAATGAGGGAAGTGTGGGGGATAGGGAAGAGGATGTGGAAAAAGGACTGCAAAAAAAGGATCTGGCTATACGACACACTGATATGGACAGTGATGGGATACGGGACAGAAGTATGGGGATGGAAGGAGAGGAGGGAGGTAGAAGGTATTCACGAGAGATATCTTAGATGGGTACTTGGAGTAAACTGGAGGACGCCGGGATATATGGTCAGAGACGAGCTAGAAAGAGAGAAGATAAGAAGTAGAGCAAGCAAGAGAGCATGGAAATTTGAAAGAAAATTGGAAGAAGGTAGAGGAGGAGAGATAGCGAGAAAGTGTCTGGAAGAAATGAAAGAGAGATGGAAGAGAGGAAAGGTAATAGGGAGATGGGAGCAGGAGAGAAAAGATTACTTGGAAGGAATCGGAGTAGAAATGGAAGGAGGAGAGGAGCTGGAGGAGGAGGAGTTGGAAAAGAAGGAGAAAGATAAGGAGAGACAAGAAAGGATGGAAAAGATCGTAGGATCGAAGTACAACAGATGGTATAAGAGCATAAGAAAGGACGGGATCCCGGACTATCTAAAGAAGGGATGGGAGGAAGCAAGATGGAGCAGGATTGCAAGATTTATGCCCGTATTCATAGTCCTTCCTTGAGGAATGAGGATTCCTTGTTCCTTATTCTACATTTCATAAACCTTCCTTGACCGAACAAGGAGTCTTATTGGCTCCCTTATCTCAAGGCAGGTCACGAGCTTCCTTGAGGCGGCGACTGCAACCTTATTATCAGAAGATTCGATAATATAACCTACAAAAGTGTCTGCATTTTACGGAGTACTGTCATTACGGAGTGCTACAGTATATATTGCAATTAAAATGGATAATGAATTTTTAAACGATTCAGATTCAGATGATGGATTTGAAGATGAAAATGTGGAAAATGATATTCGGTGGCGTTTGCCAAAAAGATATATTCGTGAGTGGGAAAATCCTATTGAGTTTTACGAAGATGGGCCTTTCAAAAAACGCTATAGATTCAGTAAAAAAGCTGTAATTGATATTCTGTTACCACTAGTAAACGAACAGCTACAGCGAAATGATAACCGCGGGCTGCCGATTTCTCCAATAATGCAACTTTTAATAACTTTGCGATTTTATGCAACAAGTAGCTTTCAAGTACGTATATAAATTTTGCCTTATACTTGTGAAATCTTTCTTATATTTTTGATGTACTTTTTATTCAGATTGTTAACGGAGATATTAGAGGAGTCAGTCAAGCATCGGTATCATGTATTGTTGCACGAGTATCAACAATTTTAGCATCTCATTTAAAACAGTACATAAACTTTTCAACACAACAGCGGCAAAGGCAAAATACTAATAGATTTTATGAGGTAGCGAATTTTCCACGTATAATAGGATGTATCGATTGCACTCATATACGTATTGCCAATCCTGGAGGAAATAATGGGGAAATATTTCGGAATCGAAAAGGATGGTTTTCGTTGAATGTGCAAGTATGTTGTTTAATTGCCATTTTTAGTAGAAAAGAAACCAGGACAAAGTGAATTAAAATATTTATTGTATGTAATTATAGGTTGTATGTGGGCCTCAAAGAGAAATTTTAGATATTGTTGTGAGACATCCTGGTTCAGCTCACGATGCTGTAATTTTTGATCGAAGTAGTGTTCGATGTCGTTTCGAATTGGGATATCTCGACGGAATTTTACTTGGAGATAGTGGATACGCATGTCGAAAATATTTACTGACTCCTGTATTGAGGCCTGATAACAATGCAGAAATTAGGTATAACAATGCACATAAGAAGACCAGAGTTATCATCGAACAACTATTCGGAGTTTGGAAGCGCCGCTTTCCATGCTTATATTATGGTTTAAGAACAAAACTAAGTACATCGGTTGCAATTATTTGTGCTACTGCTGTTTTGCATAATATATGTATTTACCATGGATTCGAGGAAATTGAACAAGAACATAATGAACAAGAACAGAATGAAGTATTCGAGGCTGTTTTCAATCGAGAAGAAGATGGCATTGGACTTACATATAGAAGAGCTTTTATACTAAGGCATTTTTCGTAGAATATATGTGTGTTATTTTGAAAATGTAAATGCTGTATAATCTGTAAAATAAAAAAATTTGTAAAACAAAAAGGTAGACATTTAACACTAATTAAATAACATTATTTAACACTTTAATGACACACAATTATATTACATAAAAATACTCTTTATTATTGGAAAATGTAATACAACTGCGTACAAAATTACTGTTATTAACAAAAAGCCATTGAAAGTAAAATAATAGGAGTGAATCTAAAAGATAAGGTTGAAGCTTGGGAAAGGGTTGCTGTGAAATATCGCATGCGAGGTTTACCACTTCGCACCAGCAAACAATTAAAAAAATTCTGGGATAATATGAAACAAAAGTTTATAATAATGAATGCAGATAAAATGGCTAAGCTAGCTGTTTACCTTATTACTCTGTTAACACATATTAATAAAACTATTTAATTCTATATCAACATATCTTTGAACACATTATGAAAGACAGATAGAAAAAGAACATATATAGCACCAAACATATTCTTTGGTATTCTTTGGTTTATATGACTTATACGATATACGTATAAAATCAATGTACATATATTATAATAAAATAGAATATATACGATCTTATAAGAAGCTTTCACAGCGGGTATTATCAACAAATATCTTAAATTATAGTGCCATGAGGACTGAGGATTCGGACTGCATTTGTACTTTCTCTTCAGTCATTGAAAGCTTGAGCAATGCGATTTTGACTTCCGTTTCAGCAACTTTCATTTTCATTGAATGAAGTTCCCGCTGCTGTTCGATTGCTTCGCGAAGCTTTATCAATCTCAATTCTTTTTCATCGTTTATATTTTGAAAATTTTTTTGAATTTTGGATGCTGGGATTTGGTTCTTTTTCATGCCACTCGTAGCAATTTTGTTTACATTGAACTTGGAAGTAGCACTACTACTACTACTGCACTTGGAATATTGGCCTGTTGAATTTTCTCCATGTTGAGCTACTTGTGGAGGAACATTTTCCCCATCACTTGCTATTGATATCGAATCTTCATCCTCGCTACTTATTAATTGCCTTTTTAAGTTACTTTTTATATGGTCTGAAAAGAGATAAGTACAAACGAATTAGATTGACAAACACCATATAAATTTAAAACATTATTATTTTATGAGATAAATAAATAAATAAAAATAAGAAATAAATACAAAAATATATC